TGAAGCCACCTTTCTCATTCCTTCTTTTTTATTGTTCTAAAACTAATATGTTCTACATTTTCTTTTGGAAAAAGACAAGTGTCCCACCCAAATTTGCTGACACTTTTTCTTTCTGTAAGTGGCTAACAAAGATATGCTTCCTAACAAATGCTGTTAAAAAAAGCCTCCTTTCAAGGTAAAGGTAACAGCAGTCAGTTGAGATGGTGCCTGCTTTTCTGATACCATTTTTAGAAGAGATGTTTGAAAATATGTTATCGTTGATTCTTCTTATTCAAAAGAGTTATGTTCCATAAAGTCTTAGCAAACACTGAATAAACAAACCAGAGCTCTGCTCTAGGGGAAATACAAGATTAGGTTTCTGCCAGTCTATGGTGGTGACATTTTTGTGACCCTGTCAATGCATATCCTTGTCTTTTGGGTGTGTCAAAGACACTGTATTTAATGTGTATTTTCGAGTTATTAGTTGAACTCATGGCCAACAGTGTTGTAACTCATGTCTGAAGGAAGCTTAGTTAACACAACTATTTTGCACGTAAGGCACATCACAGCCTTTTTGCACTTAGAAACACTAGGCAGCACTTAAGCAGTACCTTTGAGGACCATTTTAAATAGCAAAATCACTAGCCAAAAGTGCAAAATGTGAAAAAATGTAGCATTGAATAGACCAGGAAAAGGACACGTATTTACAGAGTGAGAGCTGAAACAAGAGTATTACTTTGTTCTATCTACCTCAACCAGGAACGTGCACCCAGCACCAGGCGAAACAACTGTTTCTGGGCACTGCTGTGTCTGCAAATGAGCGGGGAAAGCCGGGTGAGTGTTGCTTTTAAATTTGCCTATACATTTTAATGAGTAGATGAATTCACAAATATGAAATCAGTGAATAACAAGGATAGATTCTATTTTGTTGCCCAAAAGAATAGGAGTATAAGACTTTCATACTTGAAAACCTGACCTGGAAACAATTTTCTAATCTGCTTTAAAATCTTCTGTATGGAGTTTCAGTGTTTTGAACAGTTTGTTCAAAATGTCAAAATACACCTCTTCTGATTGCCATTAAGAAGATTTGTGTGTATGTACTGTCTGATTTCTCTCACTCTTTCTTGAACCCATTCCAGTTAACCCCATAACTCCACTAAAACTATTTTCCAAGGTCACAAATGGCCACCACATTGCTAGAGTCCTTTTCCAGTTGGTGAACCACTTGATCTGCCAGCATTTGAAAATCAATCACTACATCCTCTTTGAAACACCTCTGGGCTTCTAAGACACCACACTGGGCTTCCGTTGTGCCTACATTTCTGACCACTTCTCTTAATCTTTGCAGGTCCTTCTCCCCCCCCCCCCCACTTTTACATAGTGTGGTAACTTAGGGTTTAGTCTTGGATCTCTTTCCTTTCTACTCTCATTCTTTAGAAACCTCATCTAGTGTCAGGGCCTTAAATACTATTGACATGGTTATGTCTCTAATGTCTCCAGCCCATATGATTCCCCTCAATCCCAACCTGTATAACCAGCTGCCTGCTTTGAAATCTTTGAAATCTTCTCCTGGGGGATGAGTAGGCATCTCAAGCAGAACCTGTCCCACCCTCTTCCCAGTTCCTCCTACAGTCTTCTGCTTCTCAGTGACACTCCATTCTTCCAGTTACTCAGGCTCCAAACCTTGGAAGCATCCTTTCCTTCTTCCATACCCGACAAGAGTCCTTCTGACAACCCAGTCAGCTCTAACTTTACCAAGACTCTGCCACTTTCTGACCACCACTACCACCACACTAGTCCTGGCCAACATCCTCTCTTGCAGTAGACTCCTAATTTGTCTCCCTGATTCTGCCCTTAACCCACTTAAGACTATTCTTATCACCGCAATCAGAAGAATTCTGTAATTTGTAACTCATTTCACTCGTCTGCTCAAAACTGTCCAGTAACTCTCCATCTTAGAGTAAGTGTAAATGTCCTGACTTACGCTTCTAGCCAAGATGAAGTAACAAAGATTGAATTTATCCTCTTGCCTAAAATGACTAAAAAAATAAACAAAGAAAACAAACAAGATACGTGATAATGAGGAAAAGTTTGAGGAAGTTTTTGGCACTAAATTTGTCAATTTAAGAGAAATGGATAGGGAAAGGGCAGAACATGTCAGTGGTAGAGCACATGCTTAGCATGCACAAAGTCCTGGGTTTAACCCCCGCACCTCCATTAAAAAAGTATTAAAAAAATAAAAAAAGAGAAATGGACAAATTCCTAGAAAGGCACAAATTACCAAAGCTTCATCAGGGAAATAAATCTTTGGAATAGCCCTGTATCTATTAACGAAATTGAAAGGGGGAAGGTTGTAACTCAAGTGGTAGAGCACATGCTTAGCATGCATGAGGTCCTGGGTTCAATCCCCAATATCTCCTCTAATAATAAATAAATAAGGAAACCTAATTACCTCCCCCCACCAAAAAAAGAATGAATGAATACATAAATAAATAAAATATTAACAAAATTGAAATTTAGTTAAAAGTCTTCCCATAAAGATTCCAGGCCCAGATGGCTTCACTGTTAATTTCTACCAAACATTTAAGGTAAAAATAAATCTACTTAAACTCTTCCCAAAAATTGAAGAGAAGGAAATACATTCTAACTCATTCTATGAGGACAGCATTGCCATGATACCAAAACCAGACAAAGACATTACAAGAAAAGAAGGGCACAGGCCAAAATACCTCATGAAGTTAGATGTAAACATTCTTAGTCAACTGTTTTTTCAAGATAAAGGAATATATGTGAATACAATTACCCTTAACAGCTTTATTTGTAATATTTGAATGCAGGAAAAAAGCCAAATGTCAATCAACAGGTGAATCAATAACAAATTGTACATACATATAATGGAATAGTACCCAGCCGTAAAAAAAAGAATGAATTACAGGTACCTGGAATCTCCAAAGATCATCATACTTAGTCAATGAAGCCATACATAAAAGCCCATATTTTATGATTGTTCATATATATATAATTCTAGAAAGTGCAAACCATTTCATAATGGCAGAAAACATCAATTTCCTAGCACAAGGTTGGAGAAAGGGATTGACTAAAAGGACATGAGGATGCTTTTGTGGGGAAGGAATTATGCTGTATCTCAGTTGTAGTGGTGCTCACACAAGTGAATACATTTTTCAGAATTCATCAAACTATATAGTTTAAACGAATGCGGTTTATTGTACATAAATTATATACCCATATTGATAAAAAAGCCAGCCCTTCACATTTCAGTTGTGAAAAATAATTTAAAATTATTTTATGCATATATAGTCACATTATTTTTGCTAAAATTATCTTAACCACTGCTATTTTTACTAGCAAATACTATATTTATTTTTTTGCAACTATTTTTAATGAGAGCAGGGTTTAGAAAACAAAATAAGACATTTGTTTAAAAATTATTTATTTAATCTTTATCTCATTATTTAAACAATTTCTTTGTAAAATTTCATAAAGTACATATTAATATGATAATATGTATAAATAATTTGTATTTTTTCATGCTCACAAATTTTACCCATAGGAATACATAATCACAATAATTTGGAGACTACTGTCCTAAAAAGTTGGAAGATCCTTTTCTCAGAAAACTGAAAGGAATTTATCCACAAGCAGAGAGCTGAACTCATCAAGCAGATGACTGAAACCAGTGGTAATGTTAGAGTACGCCACGTGCGTGTGACTCAGGGTTGTAAAATGTCATTTCTCCTAGTTAATTTCTCTCAGCTCATGAATTTAATGCAATTCCAATAAAATATCCCAGTGGGATTTTTTTAATGCAACTTGGCAAGATGATTTTAAAATTTATTTAAAAGTAAATGTTATGAATAGCAAAGGCAATTTTGTAAAAGAACAAAGAAGAGTAGATTTGATTGAGTAAAAATCAGAGCATATTATAAAGTTGTAGCAGGTGAAACCTTGTCCTATTAGTTCAAGAAAAAATCAGTAGAAACAACAGCTTTCAGAAAATTGACCAATGTATTTGCAAATTTATCATATGTTATAAATGGCATTTCAAATCTTCAGATAGAGAATGTTAATGCCTAGTAATTTTGGGACAATAAGATATGTTTGAAAAAATATTGAGAAATATACAGTCTGGCCTCATGCTGCTCATAAAAATCAACTCCAAATCTACATAGAAAAAGTAAAAGTATTAGATTAAGTGTTTTACAAATATTATAGAATATCCTTGTTATCTTGGGTAAGTTTTCCTAAACAAGACACGGAAAGCAAAACTCTAAAGATAAAGTTAATAAAACTGACTACATCAAAATAAAATTTTGGAGGAAAAGAGACACCATAAATTAAGAAAAAAGACAGGATAAAATATTTCAACACATGAGAGTTTCTATGCAGAATATACCAATTATTTTATAAATTAATGAGACAAACAACCCAATAGAACTATGGCCAAGGATATGAATAGACAAGAAATTCTCAGTAAAAGAAACATGAAATGCTAGAAACCACAGATGTTCAACTTTCCTAGAGGTTGCAGAAATACACAGTAAATCAATAATGAGATAGGCTTTAGGTATCAGATTGACAAACATTTTCAAAGGTGGTATCAGGTGTCAGGTAATAGAAAAATGAATCCACCCATATTTTATTGAAGCACAACTTTTGGAGAATAAATTGAAAATATCTGCTAAATTTTTTAGAGAAGCATTTTACATGACCCAGCAGTTCTGTCTATCAGTGTCTACCCAGGAGATACCTGCACACAAGTGCAAAAGGAACACGTACAGGATTATTCAATGTAATAGAAAAAAATAGAAACCACCCAAATGTCCACCAAAAGATGAATGATTAAATGAGATGTAGTTTATTTATACTAACATCTAAGAGTGAAAAAGAATGGGGTAGGTCCAAACAAATTATAATAAAAGTATCTCCAATATAGTTTTTTTTTTTACATTTTTTAAAATTAAAGTGTAGTCAGTTTACAATGTGTCAATTTCTGGTGTACAAAAAATGTGGAACACATCGCGCATTTGTGTGTCATCCTTGCACAGGGGCCACGCTAACCTTGTATTGTTCTAATTTTAGTATATGTGCTGCTGAAGCCAGCACTCCAGTATAATTTTGAGTGAAAAGATGAAGTTGTAGAATGGGATACATATTATCCCAATTTTTAAAACACACACACTCATAACAAAAATACAACAGTATTTTTCTATGGTACCAGATATATATGGCGCTGTGGTTAAAGGAGCCTTTAGCCTCAGCCATATATAATGTTTTATTACATTCTTTTTACAAAGGTAAAAACCATAGATTAATTGTATAATTAAACATTAAAAATTAAAATACGTAAGACTAATTAAGTTCACTTTTTCCAGAACTAGAGAATTTCCACTACCCCAAGTAACCGAGAAATTAGAACGTCTACAGGAAAATGTCATTATAAGTGGGGGGAGATTTAGCTTGGCTAACATTAGCAGACATTTTAATACTTCGGGGTAGCTGATACTTTGCTGTAGGACCATCTTTTCCAAGCAGCAATTTGGATAAAAATGCAAATGTTTGCCAGCATACAGGCAGTATGTAATATCAACCAGGCTTTGCTAGTAAAATACAAAAGCCCAGTGGTGACTATAAATCCAGCTCTCCTTTGGCAGAAACCGGCTTTTAGGCTGTTTTAACCCATTTCTCCATTAATAGGAGCCACAAAATCGATGGGCAAGCATTGCCACCCAGTGGCGGTGAGTCACATTGCAGAGTTTGTCTCCGCATCCTTTTGTCCCTTAAATCTCAAAGCAATGACTGGTTCTTTTGGATATCCCCTAGAAGAAAGATGTTCTCGAAATTCAAGAGACCCACATAGGGTTATCAATATTTTAATTCTAGAAAGTACAGATTTTTAAAAAACAGCCTACTATCTACCAGCATTGCCAGTTTGTAAAAGAACATATATTTTAAAAATCGGAGGTTTTATTAGATAAAAGGACATTAAAGGACAGTACTGCTTATGAAAGAACAGTTGAAAATTATATATGCATTTCATATATATAAATATCTCATAATTATATTAATAATTGTGATGGTTGATTTTATGTGTCAACTCAGCTGGGCCACAGGATGCCCAGAGGTGGTTAAACGTCATTTCTGAGTGTGTCTGTGAAGATGCTTCTAAAAGAGATTAAGCATTTGTGTCGGTGGACTGAGTACAGAAGATGGCCCCGACAGAACCAAAAGGCAAGAGGATTGAATTTTCTCTCTCTCTCTCTGCCTGTTTGACCCGGGACATCAGTCTTCCTCTGCCCTTGAACTGGGACTTTACACCATAGTTGCTCTGGTTCTCAGGCTCAGACTGGAACTATACCAGGGCCTTTCCTGCGTCTCCCGCTTACAGATGGCCAATTGTGGGATTCCTGTTTCTCCTGTTGGTTCTATTTTTCTGAAGAACTCTCATACAGTAATACTCACATAATTCTCCTTTATCAATGTATGTCTCAGCTTTATCAGTAAAAGCAGAGGTGGAGTAAGTCTTGTGCACAGAAACTTCATTTTGGAGGCATCAGGAGTGAGAGCAGGGAGAGTTAATGAGCAGTATTGTCCTTTCCATATGGAGGCCAACTACTTTTGACCCTCTTTGCCATGGGGATTGAAAAGAACCCGTTCGCCAGATCAGGATCCCGTGGGAAGTTCCAGAAACTGTGTTTATCTGCTCCAGTAAAATACTACCCCTGACACAGCTGCTATGCTTGGGCTGTGCGCTTGGCTAATTTTGTAGTAGTTTACGGTCATCTGCCACAATCCATCTGGTTTTTGCAGGAGCCAAACAGGTGAACTGAGTGTGATGGGAACCACCACTTCTGAGTCCTTTACATCTTAGAAGATGGTGCCCAGGTCTGCAATTCCACCTGGGATGCAGTGTGTCTTCTCAGTTAATACCTCCTGGGTCAAGACAGGGTGAGGGGACCAGTGTGAGCTGCTGAGAATGTCTGTCCCAACTGTGTACCTGGGAACCAGGTAAATTTCCACAGGGAGGGTGGGACAGACTAGTGCCTGGCTCTATATGCCCTCACTCTGACTGGGGGCCTTGGTGGTGTTTCAGGTCCTATGATGTCAGTGTCAGCTCAGACCTTGTGTCCACTTTTGGGAGATCTGATTCTCACTTCTCCAGTGTGTAGTAACTCTGGCAGATAACCAGAGGTTCCTTTGGGAAATGATAAGAATATTCATTGACTCCACTTTGGAGCAGCTCTGCAGGGTCCTTCTTCAATGAGACCCAGCTATCCCTATGGTTTCTAGACTCTGGCCTGAGAACTGGGTCAGATCCTAAAACTGGGTGAGAGATTGTCCATTGTACGTACTAACGTCAGCCTTTTGCTCACCAGATTGTTTTTCTGGTTACACAAGTCAGGAAAGCACCTTAGCTGTCTGCCCTTCCATCTCGTCCCTCAGAGTAACAAGAAGGGGGAACTTGTTTTAATAGGGAAAAGGGGATAATTGGGAGGGGCTGTGATAACTGAAGAGTCCATTGGAGGAAGCTGGGAATCCCGTGTATGGAGGCTTCTCATTGGTTGGGCTGCCACAGTCTCTCATGGTCTGGGCTGTCAGGGGATGGAGAGTCGTTTTCTTATTCAGCCGGAGGGTAGAGGCACCTCCCTGTGGGAGGTGTAGTATGTCTGTTCTTGTTTGGAGTAACTGATGATGTCTGGTGCGGTGTGAGAGCTCCGCTACAGACCTGTACCGACTCCAGTTTCAGCTGAAGTTTCTTTAACAACACTTAGATGGAATTAGATGGGCAAGGCTTTTGCTAAGGGAAGTACCTCTGTAAGAGAAAATGGCTGGGTCTCGGGGTGGGTGAGGGGGGTTGCTGGGAAAGCTGGGAGAGCCATCAGGCCACGATGCAAGTGTGACTCTAAATGAGAGCGAGAAAGAGGGAAGGCTGGGTAAAAGTGTCCTACACTGTGGTTTACTCTAAGGAAAGGTAAGGTAAGATCACTGGGGAGGCCTTGAGCCTAAGGGGCCCATCAGAGGAATCCGTGCCTCCCAGGATCAGGTCAGCCTGACTGTCTGTCCCTGCCTCCTTCAGTCACTGGGAGCAGTCCAAGGGAAGCATGACCTCAGTGCAAACGGGATAGAGTTCATAGCTTTGGCTAATTACATTGTCTAGTTGGAGGAGCAGTCTCACGGCTACCGCATCTCATCGGTCAGTGTTCCCCATCACCCTGTTTAAAATAGCCCCACAGAATGTAAAACATTGACCATGTTTCACCACAGAACAGTAAACTATGTTTCACAGACTGAATACAAGGCATGTTCCAGGACAACAAAGTAATTTGAACTAGTTTTGGGAGTAGATTAGAACTAGATTAGTTCCAGGTGTGGAATTAATGAAACAGCTAAAATTGGATTGGGACAGGTCTGTAGGGGG